ATCATTAGAAATCCGCGTAGGAATCACTGAGACTGAAGAAACCAGCTCTCTTCCAGAACCACGTCGATTTCGTTGAATACTAAGGTTCTTGATAGATGTGTAAACCTCAGATGAAAGTCTTGGTAGCAGCTTGTGCTGRGAAATAAACTGGTTGATTGCCTTCATGTATGAAGAAGAATAACAATGGGAGTATCGATGATCCCGTACTGATGTAGGTATCACAGCAGAAGTTGTAGTAAAACATCCAAAATGACTCCAAGAATCCATAGGCTCGATGAACAACATAATAAACGTACAGGTGCCAGTAAAGAAACACAAATAAAACGATAAAATACTGTAAAAATGAACCATAAAATTGAGCAATTCGAAAGGCGTGCAACCACTCAGGTGCATCACATTAACTTATTAAAATCATTAAAATCATGATATATGTTTTTTGTCTCTATGAATTGTTAAGAAAAAAATGCTCAATCAAAGTGGCCCTTAAAAATCGTAATTTTGGGCCTTGAAAAGTCCTTAAACAGTCCTCGAATTTTGTGTTTGAGATGTAGTACAAACCCTGTGGTAATGAGAATAATAAGATGCATTAAGCGGATTGATACCAAGCAATATATTACTACAATAAAGGACTAATGTTTTAAATATCAAATATAGTTTTAAACTGAGATCCACAGAATTTTACTAATGGTATGACCATCTTTTTTACAGATAGAAGAAGAAGTTGTAACTTTACGCCAGGCTTTGGAAAGGAAAGAGAACCAACTAGCAGATCTAAAGAAAGAACTTGGAATAACAGCCTGGTCGCAACTCAGAGAAGGATTAAGTAATACATACACTGGTGTACAGCAGTCCCAGATGTAAGTATTTAAAGTGCACATGAACCCTTCGACAATACTTTCAGTGCTGAATCTACGTGAGTAAATAGTCGAAAGTTAGTTTTTGATTTGAGTGATGCGTCTTTAAGTTACGAAGATTTACAGTTCCAATATGTTAATGACTGTGACGTCTATTTTGAGTGTTTTTGTCGTAACTATCGATACTAAATGCTGGCCATTATGAGAAAACAAACTTAAGATAACTTTCATGTAGACCATGAGTAAAATAATGATGCTTTTTAAATACTGTTTCTGTGAACCAGTTCAATTTTGTATATTTAATTAAGCCTTAATAGACGTCACTTGAACTTACATGCACTACCCAAGTCACTACCATTACATTCAATATTCTACAACTTTCAACACACACATGATTTTCATAAATGAAGAAAAACTGGAGGAGAACCAACCAAATGGAGAGAGCAACACATTGAACAAACATGATTCACTAATGCCACCCACAGGGCTCAAATCAGGTCCATATCATACGTACCATATCACATATAGCTAATAGTAGATTAGTTCTGATTAATACCAATGTTTTATTCTAGATATCAAAAAACATCAGAATCATTGAAGAATGTTAATGAAAAGATAACACATTCCGAGGCGTAAGTATTCTAATTTTATAATAATATTAAACCTTTATTTAGGCAGGGTAAACCTTTCAGTATGAATGACATGCTGTTGTCAATGCGGCCCTAAATTAATAAATAATACATTATTATATATGATAATGAAAAAAATAACTAAAATACAAATATTTATTCAAGTGCCTTTGTTTTCTATATGACACTCCTGTGGTGTCCTATGTAAAAAAAATGTTTCAAGGGATTTTATTTGATCATAGGCTCCTGTGCACAAACCAGTCATATTAACAAAGATTTTAAACTCCCTGTGTATTGTTATTTGTAGCTATAACAAGCTGAGTCAGGGAGCATCAGCTACTAAAGGAGCCTTAGTAGATGCTGGAGGAAAAACAGTGAATGCAGTGAAAAGTGCTGGTACTGCTGCTTCTAAAAAACTAGGAGAAATCAGGTAACAGATGAACTACTAGCCTTGAATTATAACATAACAAAACTCATAARGGGGTTGAAATGTATTTAACAGTCACACATTTTTGTAAAGTGCGATGAAACCACAGAAAAAATACTTGGGACCCAGCTATCCTGAAATTCTATTAAAGTTCTTATTTGTTACTTTTTGTGCAGAGAATCTTCATCATTTCAGTCCTTTGAAAGTAAAGTCCTAGCAGCATCAGCAACTATCAAGGTAAGACATGAAGAATATCTTTGTAACTCTGTAAGTATTCATTAAATCTAATCACACATTTATTTCAACAGAGTAGTCCTTGAGATTACAATTATTTAAATGTCACTGTTATATTATTAAAAGCCTTAGAATTTAAAATACAAGGACTTAAATATTTATTAATATTTTTAAAGCTTATTAAACTTAAAAATAAATTTAAAGATTCATTGAAAAATTGAAATATCGTGTAGTCACATTAGTTTTCTTATTTAATGATTATAGTATAAATAATGTTTAAAAAAAGATTTTTTCACTAGTCGCATAAAGGAATATAATCATTACAAATAAATATCAATGTTTCCTCATTTCAAGGTCAGGGCACATTGCGGGTTTTCTTATTATTCTTTTGTATATTTTCCACCATCATCGATTTTCGCCTACAACCATCGTATACAACACGCTCGCGCCATCCGACAACTCGAGTTGTAGCGTGTAAATCAAGCCTAGAACGCCTGCGACAGACGCGAGCGTGTTGTATACGATAGTTGTAGGCGAAAATCGTACCGTCTAAACCGGCCTTTAGGTAACATGTTTCCAAGATGGCATCAATTTTGTCCTAAAAATGTCCCACAATGCACTGCAATGCCGACTAGACCCAGTTATTTAATCATCCTTGAAAAGATTAATATTTATTAGCCTCTTCTATTCTCATATTCTTTCTGATAAATCATAATTAATACCTAATGTAAAGAGTCCTAATCTTCAAAGTTTTCTGTTCTCTTGTAGTTTAAGATGCTCGGAGGGCCTCCAAAGAATGAGGAGAAAGAATATAAGGGTGGTCTTGCTCCAGCACCTGATAACGATAAATCATGAAGACTATCATGTTTAACCCTAATTATGAAATAGCTACTTTTGACTATAAAATGGTGTAAAAATAAGCTAGAAATATGTACATCAAACATGTTTATAAACGCATTCACACACTCTTAAAAAATAGATGTCTTATTGTTGGATTTCACTTGACATCATTTCCTGTCTCGTGCAGAATGTTCATCAGCGGAGTATTTTTCCGTTTGATAGCACTGGTGGTCAGTTTTTGACCACCAATTTGGTGCAGATGAGGTTCAAAGACTCTTATCAGCTGGGCCAGGTTGTACGAAGCCTGGATAGTGCTATCCGACAGATAAATCTTTTCCAATGGATAAATATATTGGATAACAGGATCAACTTATCCACTGGATAAGGATTTATTCGTCAGATAGCACTATCCATCCTTCGTTCAACCAGGCGCACATGGAAACCAAACAATATGCACATTCCAAAGAGTGCATGTACTATTTTTACAATAACTTACAAATTTCTCACACGCTGATTAACGTCAATAAGAGGACAGACAAATAAAGCTGACGTCAACGAGCACATGCTCTTTTTGTTGGTTCTTTTGATCACTAAAAATGAGACGTTTTAATCGTTTTTGTTATTGTAAAAATCAGTATTTTATATGTCTGTCCTCTTATTGATGATAAATTTCGTCATCACATTGTCAAAGTAGCGTGGATCCACGAGGCGTGGTGCAATTTATCGTCAATAAGAGACAAGACACATAAAGCTGATGTCAATTGTTAAGTAGAGACTACCTAACTCTTAACCCCCTTATTCCTTGGAGAAAAACACTGTAACAAAATTAACAACTTACGTAAACGTGAAAAGAATATTAGCTGCCATATCTATAAACAAATTGCCTTGTAATGCTACTAAAACGATGTGAATAATGCGAAATAACTAGTCTACAAAGTAGAGGTATTTAACTTTATTAATATTAGTTGAAGTTATGCTAGAAATCTGTACAGGTTTTTTTAAATATTTGTACAAGTAAAATATGTTAAGGCGTTTTGCTCATGAATTCATCTATTTACTGTTTATCAAGTTTAAAAATTTATAATGATTAAATTTTGGAGTTGTTAGAAGAATAAAGATTTGGTATTTAAGAGATTTCACTTAACCCAGGAAGCAAAATATTAATGTGTTGGTCAATGACAGTCTTTTGATTAGATTGGATAAAAATCAAGGGAAAGTATTTACCACTTTCTCTTATTATTACATCTTTTCTCAGGTTAAATAGATGCACACTGTAATGTGCAACTACTACTTAATATAGCTTGCCATATATTCCAAAGCGTACGTCATGTTACTTTATATCCATCTTACTAAGTCGCTTTTCCTCACTAGGAGAAAGTGGGAGGGCAAAAGCAGAGCAGTTTCGATGAAGTCCTGCAAAGCACAACGCAGGCTCAAGCTTCTGAAGATCAGTCAGCCAAGCCAATACATCCTGTGATTTAGTAGGTCATGTGCTCGACAAGACTCGTAACAGCAAATCATAATTTGGTAATGTTAACATGACGTCATCAATAGGTCATGTGATTGATTAGCCTTGAATCAGGAACCCATAAATTGGTGATATCACGATGACGTCATTGAGTTATGTCTGAACTGTTCGTCAATAACTATATATTGCTATATAACTATATTTACAAGGAGAATTTAGAATTTTGACTTGAAGGGCTCAAAACATAATTTCTGTGATAACGAACATGGTGCATTGTGGTCTAGGTTGGGTACCAACATATACATACTCCTTATATTGTGTTTGTACCCAAGCTAAGTTAGAATGCATCTTGAGTAACGAACTGAAAAAATGTATCTAGCGATACATCCATTTTTGACAAACTTAAACGTCAGGAATCTTTTCTCGTTCCAATTTGCCAACCATTAAAACAAAAGATCTCTTCATTTCAGTAGCCAATAGATCAAACTTCGCTAAATGAGTCTCCCCTAGATATTGCTCAGGGAGTGTTTCTTGCAGTCTTGATATTTTAAAGTAAAATGATGTCATCGTGTTCATTCCCATCGCATCAGTATTTTTTTTTTAATCATTTAATCATTTAATAAAATTAAGGTTAAGACGAAATATAATTAATTGGAAAAAAAATATTAGAGTTCAAAACAATAGAATTATAAAGAATGATATAGTTGAATTTTGAACAGTGATATTAGAACGTTTTCCAACAACCGGGGTTAAAAATTCTAATGAGTTTGCTAATATGCTAATGATCTACGTACCGTACTGCCAGC